TCCCCTCCTGCTTTCAGGCCTACTGGCTTGAGTAGTTTACTGTGTTTATATTAGTAATGGCATTTCTTCTTATTTCCCCTAAGATAGTTATATTTTTCTAACGATATAAAATCAGAAGTGCTGCTAAGTTTAAAGCTAAACTAAGCTCTGCCTATCACCATTAAAGTGGTTGTAAACCTCAGACATGAAATATGAAAAAAGCATATCCCTCTAAAGTATGTGCTTTTCTCAATGCAGAGTGCCATTAAGTGTAATTTCTGTCTGTTGCCTTGTTTCTGTGCTATCTGCATGAGTCCCTTCTGACAGGTTTTCCTGACACCAAAAGAAAAAAAGTGACAGGGAGGGAGCTCCAGCACACAGCCTGTGATCAACAGCCTCAGCTCTGTATCTGAGGGCTGCGTGAGGGAGTGTACGTCCCTTCCCTCCAATCAGCTCTCAGATCTCCACTCAATGAGCTCTGCAAGTTGTAACTTCAGCTCCCTATCCCCTACTTTCTGACAACTCACACAAGCTGTATAAGTTCTTCACTTTGACTGGCTGTACAGAAGAGACGGCTGCAGATAAACAGGTAAAACATATGTAGGATGATTTATTTAATCTCTGTGGATCCCCTGAGGCTAGTCAATTCACTGGAAAATAGAGGAAGGCACCTCTAAGTGCAGTATTGACAATTTATTAGTGAATGTTGTCTTCTAATATATATTGAACACAATATACTGCAGTGAACAATAGATAAATTGCATTTACAAGATGGTCTGAAGAAGGAGCCTACTGAGCATGCTCCAAAACGCGTTACCGCCCCCTTCACCTCCTACATCCGACTCTGCTCTCCTAGGCTTTACTTCCTGATCCTATAGACAGAATTTGCTGATGGATGGCTGGATGTCTCACCTGGATCTTATTTCACAACACGATGAGTCTTTTTAACTATTTATCTTGTAAGTGCAATTTATCTATTGTTCCCTAATAAATTGTCAATACTGCACTTAGAGACGCCTTCCTCTCTTTTTCATGGTTACTGCATTAGAGCCTTGCTTCCACTCTAAGAAGAGCTGCCTCAGGGTTACTGCTCCCATCCATCCATCCATCCATCCCCCTGATTTCCATCTGGCACCTTTATCCTACAGCTACAGAGGTTGGGCTCTAACAAGCAAGCCCTATATAATATACATTTTCTAGTCAATTCACTGGGTATAAGGGTTTACAACCACTTTAACTATTTTTAACTCTTGTGCTGCTAGCAATAGTAAATACTGTAGGTATGAAGGTGTATTATATTTACTTACTTTACACTTTTCTTCATTTGCTTTCTGTTTCTGACCTAGGCCAAAATCACATTGTTCTTGCCTAAGCTAAGGGCAGATGTATTCTAGGAAGTAAATGCTACATTATTTATCTGCCCTTACACAAGAAATGCTAGGGGGTGTTTTTAAAAGTGATTTCTCAACAAAAAAAAAAACATGGAGACATTGATGGATGGGTGCGTTTGCTTTGAATATTAAAAATGAATGAAATAGCTTTTTCAGTTTGTGGTGCTCAGATACAGTTAAGTTTTGCTTAAGGGACTTGCAAATGTGTTTATATGTATAATAGGATACATAAAGCTTTATTACTAACATCTTCTGTAAGCAAACTAATTAGCAAGTCTTATTTTATTGTCATAAGTCTATATTATAAGTTTAGCTAGATGCTGGTAGATTTTCTCCCACTGACTGCTTAGATCCGGGCAGCATCAGAAAGCTGCGGGTCTTAGTCATGCCTGCCTGAGCTCTCCCTGCTCCTCTCTCTTTCCCTTGTCTTCTCCTTTCTTCCATCCAGCTGCTGTTAATACCAAAAGAAAGATACAGACTAAAATTACATTCTGGGACATGTAGTTCCATAGAGAGGCAGTCATGCTGTGTGGAGCAGGAGGAAGACTACTGCGCCCAAAGAGCCATGGGACTCTGGAAGAATGGCGGAAAGTTCAGGGCAGTTGGCGCAAGGATGAAGGAGAGCGTGAATCTCTGTGACAGCGCATCCAGCCATCTGGGGTCCCAGCCAAAAGGGAGAGCATGTGCCTGAGCAATCGCTACCAGAGAGCCATGTACAGCCGCAACATCCATCCTGCCGCAGCTTAAGAGCCAGAGAGAGAGATAGAGAGGCTGCTGTTCTCCATCCACAGTGCGGTTCTCCAGAGACTCAGAAGGAGAATGCTATCAAAACTGATTAGCAGGAACTGAGCTATCCAGGAACTGGTTAACCCCTGTCCCCCTAAATAGATACACTTAGACCTGCTACATACAGCATGCGGTAAGTATTCTCTTAACTCTTACACAGGATAATATTGCTTCATTGAACTGCTCCTACAATTAACCCAACTTTACCCAATCACTGTTCTATTAATTATCTTACAACTGAGCCAAGGACTATACCAATAAACGAGTGTGCTCTACCCAGGGGTGGACTGACAACTCATGGGGCCCCCGGGCAATAGGGGATCATGGGGCCCCTGTGTCCTTGCCCAAACTCAAAAAAGCCTATGAAAAAGGTACCAGGGGCATCTCATGGGGCCCCCTACTGACCTCAGGCCCTTGGGCAGTGGCCGAGTTTCCAAATGGTCAGTCCGCCCCTGGCTCTACCTGCATGTAGGCTCAGTTGACAGACTTAAAAGTGCACCAACGCATTAAAGGGCCACAACGATAGCCAGCAGAAGCAACACCTCAAGGGCTGTCTCCAGTTTACATAATCTAACTACATACCACCTTCTTACCTCTATCTAGGGGCACTCAGGTCTGTTTGGTGTCCCTCAGGCATCCCTAGGCCTAGCATAGCCATCCTTGTGCATTTGGGCAGAATAGCTCTGGGGGGTTTAGACATATCTTGATTGCTGCTCATTATTGCACTGGGTAAAAGAGTTACTGTTTAAGCTGACCTACGTGTCTCATAGTTTTCAACTGTGAGGCCTTAGATTGCTCAGAAATCTGTCTCATGATCACCAGTTGTGAGGTATTAAACTTTCCAACATCCACAATTACTTAAGAAGAAGATTGTCTTTGAATTACTAAGTGCTAAGCTTTTTTTTTGAAGTATTCCATGCCCTAACCCCTCTCCTGTTAAAGTTTCTTCAAGCAATAAATCTTAAAAAGACTACTCCTAGACTGTGTTTCAGAGCTGGTGTGAATGGGCTGGTGCTTGTGGTGGTGGGCAACCTCTGTACTTTTAGGAAAGAACCAGTTAATACCAGTGGCCCCTATGGGGGTAGCACTACGATACTTAAGCTCATGCTATTTTATCAGCATGAAATTAGCTGAGCTCTTTTTACTACACATTTAGGGGAAAGATTTGTGTATTTCCTTTCCTTCAATCAGATAATTGCAGTACATCATTGTTTCTGCTGACACCTTCAAATACAGATTTACCTTGCTCATTAGTATTTTATCATAACTGCTTCTTTTATATTTTTTTTCCAAAACAGAGCTTGCAATGTGCTCTTTGATCTATATCTATATAGAAGTTTAGTTTTCTGGAAATGATAACAGTTGGGTTCATGTTTACAATAAAAAAGAAGAAATGCCTTAATGTGTGGTTTGTGCTTAAATGTTAGATTTCCTGTATTGGCATTGCTGAGTCATGAGCTGAAAATGAAGAGGCAATGAGGCCCAAAAAATTGCTTCCTAAATGCCAGCAGTGGCCAGTGATTCCAGCACAGATAGTGCAGTGTTTCTAGCTTTTGGCTCAACTCCATGGCTAGCACAGTCCGGCTTTGCAACAAATAGTATGCTGTTTCTAGTCCAGAATGTTTTGAAAGCAACTTATGGTCATCCTGAAGAACTTGGTTCAATACACATTTGCTTTTAGCTTTTGACTAGTTATCTGTTATATTGCTATAGCATGGAAGCCAGGATTCATGCTGTTTTCTTACTCGATCCTGAAAAGGTCAATAAATAAACAAAATAATGTGTGGACCATCCTAAAATCGGACACAGCTTGAAAGGCATGCTTAAACACAGTCAAATGTTGGCTGGAATGGACACAAAGTCATTTATTAAGCCCTGGAAAAGCAGTCAGGAGCTCTCCAATGCTTGTACTTTTTTAGCCTAAGAGCTTGCAGGCATTAATTAAATTGATGTTTGCTTGATATTCTAACAACACAAATACCTCCTCTAATAAATGTACTGATTTTGCAGTTATACAATGCAAAAATAGATCATAAGGGATCTTTTATTTGAATCTGCCTAAATATATATATATGTATATATACAGTGCTGTGCATAAATGAGTATACCCCAACAGATTTGTCGAAAAACCTTTTCTTTCAGAATCAACATTTTCTATGGGACACTATACTACAAAATACTCCCACAAATGCGGGCCATTGATTGCAAACAAGATTTATAAATTTTCGCACACAAAAAAGTATTTTTCCTAACAAATTAATTCAAGACCATGTTGTAAAAATGAATACACCCCAACAAAAGTCTTAGGAGAAAAGCTAAATTTTAGACAACAAAATCCTAATCAACAAGAATTTAACTACGTGAGTCAAATTTTTCATTAACCACAAGTCTACAGGGCACTTATACCCCCTTCCTGCCCAGGCCAATTTCACTTTGAATGACAATTGCGTGGTCATGCAACATTGTACCCATATGAACTTTTTATCAGATAGAGCTTTATTTTGGTGGTATTTATTCACCTCTGGGTTTTTTTTTTTTCTTAAACAAACCAAAAACCACTGAAAATGTTGAAAAAAAAGTTTTTTTCTTAGTTTTTGTTATAAAATTTTGTAAATAGGTGATTTTTCTCCTTCGCTGATGTGCGATAATGAGGCTGTAGTGATGGGCGCTGATAGGCTGCACTGATGGACACTGATAGGTGGCACTGATGGGCACTAATGAGGAGGCACTGGTAGGTGGCACTGATGGGCATTGACAGGCATCACTGATGGGCACTGAAAGGCAGCACTCATATATGGCACTGATAGGCTGCACTTACTGGCACTGATAGGCGGCACTGACTGGCACTGTTAGGTGGCACTGACTGGCACTGATAGGCAGCACTGACGGGCACTGATAGGTGGCACTGACGCACACTGATAGGCGGCACTGACTGGCACTGATAGGCGGCACTGACTGGCACTGATAGGTGGCACTGATTGGCAGCACTGATAGGTGGCACTGACTGGCATTGATAGGTGACACTGAAAGGCAGCTCAGATGGGCACTGATATGTGGCATTGATGTGCACTGGTAGGCATTGAAATGTGGCACTGATGGGCACTAGCAGGTGGCATGGATAAGCACTGACAGCTGGCACTGATGGACACTAACAGGTGGCACTGCTGGAGCTACACAGATCATCAGGGTACACTGACCATCACTGACCATCAGTGCTCTGATGATCAGTGTACATGTCCCCTCTGAGGAATGCCGATTACCGGCTCTCCTCTCGAGCTGTCAGTGTGACAGCTCGTGAGGAGAGAAATGCTGATAACCAGCATTTCCCTGTTTACATGTGATCAGCTGTGATTGGACACAGCTGATCACATGACTGAGCCGACATCTTCGGCTCTTTCCGTTGACCGGTGATCCGCTATGTCCAAGGGACACAGCGCACCACCAATCACCGCGCTGCATGCTCCCGGAGCCACTCATGCGCAATTAGAATGGGGGGACGTCATATGACGTCCCTCCCAGAACGAAAGAACTGCCTTGCACCCATCATTGTACTATATGGCGAGCGGGACGTGGTTAAACAGGTGTCCAGCAGACAGTTGATTATAAAAGGGCATTACTTAACAAAGAAAAATGCTCCCATTTCATGCTGTCAGCAATGCCACCACATGGAAGAGAAATGACACAAGGCCTGAGAAAGAAAATCCTTTCTTTACACAAGAAAGGTGACGGCTACAAGAAGATCAGCAAAGCTTTACTTATCAGTCAGAATACTGTAGCAAAAGTGATATAACAATTTAACAAAGTTGGAACTGCAACCACCTCACAGAGACGTCTAGCCCATCCACAGAAGTTAACACTTCAACAAAAGCATCTTCTGATGAGAAAGGATGAAGAAAATTGCCATGCAAGTTCACTGCAGTTAGCTAAAGAATAGAAAGGCAAACTTGGGTGATTGTTTCCCGTGACACAATACGGCGTACACTGCAGAGGAATGCTATGCATAGGTCTCATAGACCTAGAATAGACTTCCACAAAGGAAGTCTATTCTAAAGCACATGCACAAAAAAGCCTGCCTAGAATTTGCCAGGGCCCATGCTGAAAAAGAAGACTACTGGGACTCTGTGGAGTGATGAGATTGAGATAAATGTTTTTGGAACTGATTACTTCAAAACTGCATGGTGTTGTGAAGGTGAGGAGTACAAAGAAAAATGCATGGTGCCTACAGTGAAACATGGTGGTGGCAGTGTTCTTCTGTGGGGCTGCATGAGTGCTGTTGGTGTCGAGGAGCTGCATTTCAGTGATGGTATCATGAATTCACAGATGTTGAAATAGAAGATGCTAAATTGAAAGAGAAGATGATACCATCACTCCATGCCCTTGGTCGTTGTGCACTTTTCCAACATGACAATGATCCAAAACACACATCTAAGGCCAAATTTTTTCATTTTTGTAGAAGAGCAGTGTGAAAGTGATTCAGTGGTCAAGTATGTCTCCTGACCTGAACCCATTGAACACCTATGGGAAATTCTGAAGAGACAAGTTGAACTTCACTCTCCATCAAACATTCAGGCTCTAAAAGAGGTTGTTCTTGAAGAATGGAAAAAGATAGATGTTGCAATATGTCGCCAACTTGTTCCATGCCTAGAAGACTTGGTGCTGTCCTTACAAATCATGGAGGTCATACAGAATACTAGATGTAGTAGTTTTTGTTGTGGGGTGTATTCATTTTTGCATTAACTAATTTGAATAAAACTGAAGATATTATTAACCTTACTTTCATGTAATGAGCTAATCAAATGTTTTATAAAACTCAGTTTTGTCAAAATTTTGGAAATTATTCTAGTCCACGATTTATAGGTGTTAGACCACTTTCTCCTCTTCTGAGCATTAATATAGTGGTTTGGTAATTGCAGCTCACCTGTGAATGTTTTGCTTATGGACTCCGTATTACTAGCAGCACATGCAGTGAATGATGAAAGTGAGGCTTCCCACCTGTTAGATAGGTGTCTCACACAGCAGAAGCAAAAAAATATTACATCACTTCCACTTAGTCCACACAGTCACATAAACAAGTAATTACACCCCATGGAAATTGCTGACTTTTTCACCATATTCGAATAGACAAACATTATATTTTCATTCACAAAGTGCTTATAGATAAAAGTGATATACTTGAAAAAATGTATTATTAATATCCATAATCAAAATGAACATGAAATGCAGATTTGTCATGTGGAAAAGTAGGTACATGGCTATATTTACCACAACCTCAAATCCATGAAAGTGGAATGAGATTTTCCCGATTAGGTGTAAATGATTAGAACCCTCTTAGGGAGTATGCACATGGAACTTAAGAAAAAAAGAAGGAAAGAGTAAAATAAAGAACATTTAACTCCCTACTGCTGATAGACACACTGTGATTTATTGCAAACAGTATTCAGCATATTTACCTTTATTTTTTTTTTTTCACTTCATTGGATTGAAAATGTAATTGGACATCTCTGTCTGCTGTGTTTCACTGAAAGGCTTGGCAACAGGGCTGAATTTACAGGGCAATGATGTCCCTCACTGGCTTCCAGAAGGCTGTTGTTAAGGGGCAGGGAAATTCTTCCCACCTGCCCCAGCTAGCGCCCCCTCAATAAGACTTTTTACCACTGTTAAAGATAAGGAGGAAAATGATGAATCTTCTAGTGGTGTACAGCCTGCTGCTCACTGGTCTGCTTTGATAAATAATCTATCCTGTTTTTTAAAAGTCGTATTACATGACTGTGTTACTGTATATTGGGTTTAACCGCTTTCTGACCGCACTATAGCAGATATACTGCTACAGGGCGGCACGGGTGTAACTTTGCATTTCTGGGTAGGGGGCGCGCACGCCCTATCCGGGCCACCATTCGCGGCTGCAGCTGTAAATCACCAGGTCCCAGCCAGTGATTGCTGAGTACCTCCGATGGGGAGGAGAACTGTTTCTAAACAAGACAGTTCTCATCCTTGTCAGCTCATGCACACTGCTTTGGATGGCTGTACACAGCACAGCCATTCAAAGCAGTGTGATTACAGTGAAGCACTAACACATGGCCCCATAGTAAAACACACCCAGCACACAGTTAACCCTTTGGTTGCCCCTCATGTTAACCCCTTCCTGCTCAGTGCCATTAGTATAGTGTTAGTGCTTTTTATTAGCACTGATCATTGTATTGGTGTCACTGGGGATGTCAGTGACACCAAGTCAGTTCCCCCCAGAGTCAGAATGCCCACTGCAGTCCTGCAGTCCTGCAGTCCTGCAGTCCCGCTATAAGTCACCGATCGCCACCATTACTAGTAAAAGTTAAAAAAAAGAAAAATTCCAGTATCTATACCACCATTTGTAAACGCTATAGCTTTCACGTAAACCAATTAATTTACATGTATTGGGATTTTTTTTAGCAAAGACATATAACAGAATATATTTTGGTCTAAATTTATGACGAAATTTGATTTTTAATTTTTTTTACTGAACATGTTTAATAGCAAAAAGTCAAAAATATTCTTTTTTTCTCAAAATTGTCAGCCTTATTTTTTTTTTAATAGGGCAAAATATAAAAAATACACTGGGTGCAGCATTGCATCACCGCACAATTGCCAGATAAAGTAACCTAGCGCAGTAATGCAAAAAATGGCCTGGTCAGAAAGGGGGATAAATCCTCATGAGAGCAAGTAGTTAAGCATCTCAGTGTTGTGGTTGAACTTTGATAGTGCATAATATGTATGTGAATTTACTTATTCGTTTGCAAATGTTCAAGTTATGAGCCAGGCACAGTGTTTTATTGTATGGCTAGAGTCATAGTTACTGTATATAAAAACTTTTGCTTTACTGCTGTCCGTTGCGTTTCTGCAAACCATCTTGTCAGAGGACCAATACTCGCACAGCTAATACTAATGCTACAGTTAATGCTCATTCCCATGCAGCTAATGCTCATTCCCGTGCAGCTAATGGTCATTGCTTGTGCACAAGTACCAGCACACAGACAAGCTCAGGCTAATATCCAACATGCACTGACACATAGGCGCACAAGCATAGGCGTTAAGATGCCTATTTAAAGGAAACCCTTGTGTGTGCTAATTGCTGGATGTTCCTCAGCTTCCCTGTGACCTGTGTTCCTGATTATTCTGACTGATCTCCCATTGCTGACCCGGCTAGTTCCTGACTTTGCTCTTTGGATTTTTGATACCGACCTTGTCTTGCCTCTTGGCCTGTGTACCTGGTGCTGGATCTCGCTCTGCTTCCCTAGTACTGACCTTAGCCTGCTACATAGTCTGGGCAAAAAAAGACAAAAGTCCATCCAGTTCAACCATAAAAAAAAAGTTATAATCCTATACCCACAGTTGGTCCAGAGGAAGGCAAAAATAACCCCAGCAAAGCATGATGCAATTTGCCCTGCAGGAGAAAACGTTCCTTATTGATGCCGCGATAAGCAATCGGATATTCCTTGGATCAACTTTACCTAGAAATTTTAGTATCCAAGTATGTTATGTGTATATAGGAAAGAATCCAGAACTTTTTTAAAGCAATCTACTGAGCTAGCCAGAACCTACTCTTGAGGGGGTCTATTCCACATTTTCACAGCTGTTACTGTGAAGAAACCTTTGCATATTTAGAGATTGAATCTCTTTTCCTCCAGACGCCAAGCGTGCCCCCTTGTCCTCTGTGATGACCTCAGGGTGAATAGCTCTACACCGAGTTTACTATATGAACCACTGATGTATTTATACTTGTTGATAATATCCCCCCTTAATCTCCTCTTCTCAAGAGAATAAATTCACTTCCTCTAATCTTTCCTCATAGCTGAGCTCCTCCATGCCTCCTATCAGTTTGGTTGCCTTTCACTGCACTTTCTTCAGTTCCCCAACATTCTTTTTGTGAATTGGTGCCCAAAACTGAACTGCATATTCTGGATGAGGTATTACTAATGATTTGTACAGGGTTAAAATGATATCTCTCACTGGAGTCTATACCTCTTTTAATACAAGAAAGGATTTTGTCTGTTACCTGGCCACGCTTCAGACTCATGTGTATGATCCTGGCTCGCCCTGACGACATCTTTGCCCCTGGCAGTCACCTGCTACCAAGCTACTGGCACCTGTGCTTCTTTGAGCCTTGTACCTCTGTCATCCCCTTCAGGGGTTCTCAGACCAGAGCCACAAGAGAAGCCCTCTCATCAGCCTGGCCTCCAACCAAGGTACGTGACACACCTTTCACTGTTATGGGTACCATCTGTCACGGGGACATGCTACCTATAAAGAAGAGTGAGTGTTAGTAGGTGTTAGTGCCCTTTAATTCTTGCTTTTTCTGTAGTGATATAATGGGTGGAGATTGTGCCCCTTAATATACCAGCTGTAGGTGGGGCCCAGGAACTTGAGGTATGGAAGC